GGTAGGGGAAGATATAGATCTTTCATTCATAATAATAGGTCTTGAAATTTCTACTCTAATAAACATTTCTTAAACCCCGGGAAAGGGAAAATCTCTCAATCCCTGTACCATCCTCGAAGTGCAGCAGAAAAGAGTCTTGCCGACTATATGCGGTTCCTCAACTTGGAACTAATGAAACAAAGTGAAGTTCCTATGAAGTAGGGTATTCCAATGTGAAGTTCCTTTGCAGGTTCATAATAAAAATAAATTTAATCATTACAGTTAACTAGCTCATCCATTTTCAAGCATAGAAAGTTACATGTAAAAGAGGATATTAAATTACTGGTTTAATTTTTTGTTTCAATACAAAATTAGATCTAATTATCATCACTTCACCAAAGATACTTCCTGTAAAAACAAGTAAGACTGCCAGGGAAGTTTATGATGCAGGACTCCTGCACAAAACGTTTGTCTTCACTGAAGACATTCAACCTCCAAGATGAAGGAAACCAAGGCGAACCCTCAGATGCAAATCTTATGTTTAAAGCAACTGAAATGACATGACAGTTCAAACCATATTTTACTGGGTTATCATTGAATAGCAAACTCACTATTCAAATTTTCACAATAATTTTTTTTCCCCCCCAGGGGAGGAACACCATCTACACTATTCCAAGTTGAGCAGCCCAGACAACTCTCCACAGCCTGGAGATTACAGATCCAGAATGAAAGATTAAATAATAAGAAACTTTATCAGTGACAGCAAACATTAGTACTTCACAATATCACTAATCTGTTATGCCTTCTTTTCATAAGACACAGCTAAAAATCAACTTTTTAAAAAGCATTTTCTGATACTATACAATTTTTTTTTCCAGTTAAGAATATAATTTTTGTATCAGAATGAAAATGACCTAAGACCCAAAGCTGCTAAAACATGATGCTCTACACCAGAAAATGATATATTTATTAATTAGTCAAATACAAATTACTGAAATATGTTTAATAATTGGAAATAGGAAAATAAGTATGTAGTAATTTAGGGCAATTGACTATTAATTATAAAATAAATAATTACATTACATTATAAAATTTTTCTTCAGAACAAATTTCAATGTTTCAGGGCAGATAATAGGTAAAATATTTTTCAGACTATTTAAACAATGCAATTAATTCATTAAAAAAAAAAAACTCATTGGTGCCATCATCGATGCAATTTGATTCTCTAGTTCAAAATTTGTGTCCTCTATATTTAATATTTTACTTCATAATTTGGCACATTTGACAAAATATTATTGGTACAAATATTTGAACACAATGCATAGCACACAACTTATGGTCTCCTCTCTATTTGTATTTAAAAAAATACATATACATTTTTACTGTTTTATAGTTAAAATAGAGCGCCATTAGGAAAGAGCAATTTTCCCTGTTTTAGCCACAGCTGAAAAGTCGCATTTTTCTGGTGTGCCCCAAGGGCTTCACTGATTTTTCAGAAAATTAAAGTTAATTTATACATTTTGAAGGACATTTTAACTTTAATTTTGTGAAAAGTGGCTGTTTCAAGTAAACGATTCAGAGATACAAGAGATAAATTGAAAAAAGTGTGAATTTTTATGGTT